ATTTATGCATGTGAAATGATGAAAAGCACTTCGAACCGACGGACTCCCTCCTATCAGGATCTCATGGATACGATGGCTGAAGCACAGCGAATGGAAAATAAAAATAGGAAACTCTCAATCAGGCATATAATAATAAATTCTCAAATCCCATAACATTTCGAAGAAGCAGATTTCTCTTGGTCAATGTCCAAGGAAGATGTGAAGATGTCAAGCCAAAATTAGCTGAAATCTGTAGGCTATGAGGCTAATCTGTAGATTATGGGCTGAGCGACTGGTTGGAAAGCCTTCAGCGGTTGAACTTTCGTTCATCGTCTCCATTTACTTTTTCAAAGGATCAAAACAGTTGCTGAGTCCCTCGACCGAACATTATTATGTTCTGTCTCTGGAATTGACGTCATATGAGGCCGTTCGGTTGGTCTCATTTGGGTTCATCTACTGGCAACTTGAGGTCAAATCTGTGTGTCACGAAGAGTGGTCGCCATTGCAAAGGGCCGAGAAGTTTGTGAGAATTTAGTCGAAGAGGGACAGAGCAAACTGCGAATATTTGGTCTAAGTGTTTCTTTATTTCCATTTTCTTAATCTCAACTGGGTTCCGTGGTTAATTATAATTAAAAATGTAGCAGCTGGAAAGAGTCAACCGATTTTCTAATGTTGCCATTTTATGTTATGGCAACTCAATATTTGCCTCAAAGTACAGAGTTTTGGAATGGGAAAGTTTAATCTCACTTGAGAGCCTCTTAGGCCTGCATTCGTAGAAATCAAATTCCTCTGGAAGGTCGTGAATCACGGAGTTTACAGACATTTTCCAAAAAAAAAATTTTCTGGCCCCCAAATTTACTTTCTAAAATTTTCGGAAAAATTTCTTCGGACCCTCAAATAGGAGTCACGTGTTGCAGACGCTCACGCGTGACTGGGTTTCGGAGAAGGAAAAACCAGTTACATGCATGCAGCCGAGGAAAAAATATTCCGTGTGAACCTCTTCCAAATCCAAAATTGACACGTTCAATAGCAAATTCAATCAATTGTATCAATTGATCAATCTGATTCAATTCTGGAACTCCTCTTGTCCTGCTTTAAAGAATGGATATTTTAAATGTTCCTTTCAGAAAACTCTTGCGATCTCTTCAGATCTTCAGCAACAAGAAGGAGCAGAACTATAAAATGCAAAATGGCCTCATTTTCATTTCCAGGCTGAGGAAGCGAGGAGCAAAAACCAGAAGAGACGAAGCCGCAGGGAAGAATGATGGCGATGGACGCCGCTCGGGGTCTGACACCACTGGGCGTCCTTGGTGTTGCCCTTGATGAAGTCCTCTACGTAATCTGCATGGAGCGAAAAAAAAAATTAACTCCCTGAGCTCTGGAGCACCAACCAGAAGCTCCTACCAGAAGCACCCACTAGCCGTTTTAGCGAAGACACCGCCGTACTCGGCAGAGCATTGATATTCGAAGAACGATGCGATCCCAGCACTTTCATAATATCCGGCCGGATTTCGGTACATCAGCGGTCCACCACAATCACCCTGGCGAATATTTGCAATTAATATTGCGCGAATCCCGTTTAGTTTTTTTTTTTTTTTCATACATACGAAACAAATATTTTTCCCTGCCGACTGGGTGCAGATAAAGTTTTCGGTGATGTTCGAACCAAAATTTTCCCGGCAAGATTCTTGACTGATCACGTACGTCGTCGCTTCCAGCAATTCCCCCGAGTTACCAGAGTCACCTGAAACACGGATCCATGTCACACAATCGACACGAAACCGCTCGCCCCCTCCCCCCTCCACCTCCTCCGCCCCCCTCCACCCCCCCTCCACCCCCCTCCACCCCCTCCACCCCCAGACTCACTTCCCGCAGTGTGTCCCCATCCCGAGATGATCAGTCTCGTCCCGACGGCGGGGTCGACGCCGGACGAGAGGCACAAGGGGCGGATGTGCGGATGGGCCGAGAAGTCCACCGGCGTCTCGAGCCTGAGGAGGGCCACGTCGTTCTCCCGCGTGCCGGGATCGTACCGAGGATGCACGATGGCCGTCGCCGATGTCTGCATCAATTGGCTTTCGAACGAAATCGAAATGTCCAGGTCCCCTAGGGTCACCCAGAAGAATCCCGATCGGCTGCGGTCACGGGATCGCATTATCGATCGATAGGTAGGCTTAGCTGCACGTTGCACCGTTTTTGGTCACTGAGAATACTTAACTATTTAAACGACCATCTCAAATTCCAACATTGCTTAACCGACTATGGGCTGGATTGGCTTCGATCCCTGAGCCGGAATCAGTGCTCTCTGCCAACCAAGCCACGCAGTCATGAGTGAGAGCTATGCTTACCCTATATTTGAGAAGTTATGAACGAATGCATGTGGATAAAGTGATGAATGTGAAATTCTCACCCTGCAGAGACGCAACTGGAAGAAGTGAGAAGGTACCGATCGTTGATGAGGGCCCCGCCGCAGAATCCCCCTGGGCTGCTCACGATCCAGGCCATCCATGAGTAGTTGGCCTGGTCGGGGACGGGTCGCCCGCCGACGATCCGGTCGGACTCCACTGCTGCCGGGTCGTCGGTCGTCGACTCGGGTCGGCCGACTCCGCATTCTGACCGAGGGGTCGAGACCGGTAAGTGCACGTGAGCGACCTTTAGCGGTCTCGAGATTTTT